TCTATTTATTAATTGGGTTGTTATTTCTTTGAGAGTTGTTTAGGGGGCCTAATGACAAAGCCATAGTAATAAAAACAACTTGGTACTAGCACAAGAATAGGCCTGAGGACCAATGGAACAGAAGACCCAGAAATGAACTCACAGACATATAGCCATTTAATATTTGATAAGAGGGCCAAAAACACAGGTTGAAAGAAAGCCTCTTCAACAAATGGTGCTGGCAAAGTGGGCTATACACATTCAGAAAACTAAAGCTAGGTCCCTATGTATCACCCTGACCACAGTCAATTCAAAATGGATCAAAGACCTCAATATAAAGTCAGACACCATGAAAATATTACAAGAAGGTAAACACTAGGGCTCCCAGGCATGGACTGAAACTTCCGAACTAAAGGTCTAGAATCACAACAAAGCAAAGACTAATTATGGGATTGAATCAAACTAAAAAGTTTCTACATCGCAAAGGACATAGCTAGCAAGATAAATAGAAAGCCCACATAGCGGGAAAAGATTTTTTTTATCAGCTCTACATCGAATATGTGCCTCAATCTAAAGTATACTTACAGTTCAAAAAACTGAATCTCTAATCTTTCATGTGATGAAAATTGGAACCATGGTGGAGACCAGAGAACAAATCAGGGACAAATATCCACAGTACTTAGAAAATGATCACCCAAAGGAGGGCCGCTTTTACTTCTAATTTTATGCTTTTATATGGTTTGGATCTTTTCCAAGGTGTATGATTGAGTGTGCTTATATAACTAGAGTTCCCTTAATTTCCATCAATTGTGGGAAAAACAAAATTTGTTCTTCTTTCAGTACAAACTCTGTGTGCACTCCCCTCTTCTGACTTGGGCTCTTCTTTTCTATACAAACACTATTCACTTCACCTGTTTTCACACATCCTAGAACAGCCCTGCAGACCTCTGTCACCTCCAAATCCAGCACTGCTATCAGCAGTGTACTAACTGTCATCTACAGTTGAGTGGTGCACACATGAAGCAGAAGGAGGAATCACAAAGGATCATGATAAAGTTTCTGGAAGATAATGAATATGTTCACCTTGATTTTGGTGATGATCATATATATATATATGAATATATGTGTATATTATCAGAAATTATAAACTTGTATATTTAAAGTGTAATTTGAGGTAGGCCAATTATACCTTGATAAAGCTGGCTTTAAAAAGGAGAAGAGAAGGATGTTGATGTTAGAAGGGACAGACAAAAGATAGTCATTTCAAAAATCTCTATACAATGCTAATTTTTAAATGATTTACACGGGTGGGGGGATGTTCAATACTCACAAATAGCATTTTCCGCAAGAAAAATGTCATTTTCTAGGAAGATAGGAATTATAATTTTGAAAAGAGCAGCCAGGTTGCAAGCAGATGATTAATTATCATGGAAAATCATTGATGTATCATTGTAATTTCACAGTATTTCTTACAATTAAAATAAAGCTCCTGCATATCTCTCATAAATGTATTGTAAAGCTTTAATTGATTTATGTTGGCAAAAACCCTTGGTTACTATCATGGAAAATAACTGAATTAAGAGTCAAAATATAAATCTTTCTATTCTTTTTGTATTTGTTTTCCTTTACAATTAATATTAGGAGGTGCCAGCTATTCTAATACATTATAACAGGAGAGACTGCAGTTCTAGAGGTTTGACCTCTGTTTAATTAATGGTAAATTACAGAATCTATAAAGATGTTTAACTAAACTTGTGCAGCTGTCTCTACTACTGAATTCCTTACAAATATCAATTGCCCATTCATTAAGAGCATTAGTAATTAGTTGAGTAAACTAAGGAATATAAATCCCTAGGCTTATTCATATGTTTTATTTTATGAGATGATATCTTTTAACTTAACTCTTAACTTAGTATTAACTCAGCATGACAATAAGGACATATAATAAAAATATACATGGCAATGTTGTCAGGAGAAAAATGCATACACATAGAGAAAGGCTCAAAATTCGAAAGATATTTGGGCCACAGCCTGTATTCTAGAGTAAGAGACACAGCATACAGTATCAAAGTGACTATTAATGATTGTCCTTAAGCATCACTAGAATGTTACATACTAGATTTTTGGCAACTGTGAAATGTTACTGTTCATAATTGGAGAAATAAAATTTGAGACTGTGACTTAACATCTAGTGAACAGATCTGGAAATCAGTTTCCTATTATTTAAAAAAAAAACAGTGATACAAAAGACATCCCTATGTCATTTCTGTTTTAACCATTATAATGAGAAATGATGAGCCTAAAACTCCTCCAAGACGTTGTTAATTATTGGGCAGAAACAAAGCTATTCTTTAAAAGAAATATCTTAAGAAAGACCTTTTACTATAGGTTTCTACACTGGAGATTCACAACAAAGTGTATAATTATTTCCACATTTTGTATGAAAATGTCATTATAGAGTAGATACAGATACCTGTAATTCATTACAGGAACCAATAAAATGTTCTGTAACTTAGGAGGCTAGATAGAATACAGTCACCAGGCACATGTGGCAATTTAAATTACATAATTCATATTAAAAATAGGTGAGCATGTTAGCTCATAGCTTTAATTCAAGATACTCAGGAGGTAAAGATCAAGAAGATGTCAGTTCTAAACCAGCCCAGGTAAGAAGTTAGAGCGACCCATCTCAATCTATAACTTAATGTGATGGTACGCATATTTCTACCAGCTGTGTGGATGCTGTAACCAACAGTCCAAACCAGCCTAGCTAAAAATGTGAGACTTGATTAGAAAAAAAAAAACTGAAAAAGACAGAGGTAAACACACATGCATGTACATGCACACACATGCGCGCGCGCACGCGCACACACACACACACACACACACACACACACACACACACACACACACACACATACGAAGATAATATAATGAGACCTACTGAAAACTGCAAAATGGAAGAAATAGGGCAGGAGAGTTAAGACAATACAAAAGAGATAGATGAATTTGTTCATCTATGAAGTTATCACAATGAAATCCCCTTATACTATTAATAGAGGCTAAGTTTAAATGTTTAATAGAAAGAAGAAAATAATGAAAGCACAAATGTAACAAAAACAGGGACATAAGAAGAGTAGAGGCCTGGCTCAAGTGGTAGGAGCACCTGCCTGGCAAGTGGGGCCCTGAGCCCAAATTCCAGGAGCACAAAAAAAATTCCTTGATGGAACAGACAATATTTCAAGCGTACAGTAGACCAAATGGCACCTGTACAGTACCACACAGTATAGAATACTTCTTTATTTTAAAAAAATTCTACTGGGCAGTGTCTGATTAGACTGAGGAAGAAGACAACACCAAGATATCATGTAAGGGCCTCTAGAATATGGGAGCTGAGATGAGAGCAAATGTTGGTTGCAAAGAGGAGTATCACCCAACTCCCAGGGAGAAGTAAGTCCTTGGTTCATACCATCCTGGCATGGCTTTGAATATGTAACCTACAGTTAAAGCTCCTGCCTCTATGCGCCCCGTGCCCTAGGGGACTTCAAAACCTTACTGTGCACTTCCCATAAAATATTAAATCAAGAAAATGAAGACAGCACACTCAATGTGAAATAAAGTTCATATACTCCTGTTTAAACACAGATTAGAATTTCTGTCAGAACAATGCCAGTGAAAAGTTGACATTCTAATTAATACCATTTACATTATAAAGCACTGAATATCTTTATCTTGCTATTATGAAATGCCCTCTTTTTTTTAAAAAAAAAAAAAGGGGGGGGAGGGGACTGTTCAACAGGGAATTGGGTATTAAGGGCAGTATTTTTTTTTAATCCATGTACAAGAGAGGAGGTGAGGGCCACTGGCAATTTTACAGCCCATCAGCCCAGTGCTCTAAAGGGAAGCAGCCCACTCATTTCTCTACCACACCTTTCTGTCTTCTGTTAGCTTCCACGTGGCTCTCTGCATGCAGCCACAGGATTCTGAAGCTGTTTTTCTTACAATGATACAAAACATGCTGCAAAACAACCCCCCCCCCCCCACACACACAGAGAAAACATTTTCTTTTATTCTCCCCTCTTCCTTCTCTCCGTGTCTCCTTCTCTCTCCTTGATAACATCTCAGAAAGAAGTTCTGGAGCATACATGTAAGACTCCATGTTTTTACTCCATCCAAATTCTGAGTGTGTAAAAGGGGCAGAAATCAACCCCACAGTTGGGTAGCCAAGGATTCATGTTCATTGCCTTTGTCAATTTTATGCTATCGGTGAAAGGAATAAAGATGAGATCCTTAAAGCTTGAATTTTCATTTCCTATGACAACGTACTTTTTCTTCATGCCTTACTGAACTCCACTACTTGGTCTCCACCCCTTCATAATTGATATTGGCCATTTGAAGCATTCAAGAAAAACCTCATGCGGTTCATCAAAGGTTCTCCTGTCTATAATTCTTGCTCCTATCCTCCTCAGAAACATATTCAGCCAAGTGTTTTCTACTTCCCCCTCCATGGAGTTCGCCGATCATGGGAAGGGGACAATGAGAGTTGTATTAATTACCTGCTGAAAAGGCTACAGAGCAGCAAAAAATGATGGAGATTATTGTTATAAATATTTTATTTTATTAAAATAACTCAGAATTGGACAGATTCAGTAGACCCTCCTGGTAATGAGAGGCTCATAAATTTTATAAGAATTCTAGAAAGTTTTAGTGTGGTCATTAAAATAGTCTCATTCATTTTTTTTTAAAGAATTGAATACAACTTTCCATTTTTTTACTTTAGAGAGTGAGGATCAAATTTTAAAATTCTAAGGTATTTAAAAATAATCGTGAAGAAAGCTTTGAAAAAAGTCAGCTTGACATAGATTTCATTCATTATTTCAAATGACTCAGTGTTCAGTTTTGTAGTTTATCCCGTTAAAATTGGGTTTCATTAGCACGTAATGACTTTTGCTGCCTAAAATTCCCATCACAAACAAACAAGCACCACATTTAAATGTGCCCACACAGTAACACAGTCTTACCAAGTGTGTCTCCAGGTATAGTTTAAGGCCATCCGTCTCTGCTTTGGGAGGAGTCCAGTTCTCAGTGGTTTCCATGGCTTCATTTAACCACTGAATGAACTCGTCCAGCTTGGTTACAAACCCCTTTTGAAAAAAAAGCAGACAGAGGGATTATTTGGTTATTGTTTTATAAAACCAATCTTCACAATGTTCTACAAGAATTACATTCAATGCTTTACGTATGCAACTGTAACCCCTCTGTACATCACCATTACAATGTAAAAAATGGCTTTTAGGAGGATACATAGCCATTTTTTTTCAAACTTCATAACTAAGTTGATATTACTGTGTTCTCCAACTAGTGCTGTGGTGAATATCCCCCCGTCCCTGCCCCTTCCATCTACCCATTAAGAAGAAACTGTCCTCTCAATTGTATCCTAAAAATTACTTCCCCAAATTTGGATTGGAATGTGGGGGTGTCACTAGACAGATGATACCAAAACATCAAAACAATTCTGGTGTCTGAACAGCACCCCTAGACAAAAAAAAAATCAATTCAGGTCTTCTAGAAACACTAGCTCTGAAAGATAAAAACTTTCAGGAAAGAAGGTGCTCCTTCACTCAGAAGCTTCCAGAGTTGAGTTCTCTTACTTGAACTAAAATATCATTTAAAGTCATACAAGTAGCCAGGCATCAGTGGCTTGACTCACACCTGTAATCCTAGCTACTCAGGAGGCTGAGACCTGAGTATCATGGTTCAAAGCCAGCTAGCTTGCAAAAGCCTGTGAGAGTTTCTCTCCTTATCTTTCGTTGTAGAAAGGCGTTGCCATTTAACAAAGCAGTTCATGAAAGTGATATCTCTTGATTTATCCTTTCAACATTCTCATCCATCCATCCCCCCCACACCTTCCCTCACTCTGTCATTCTGTAGGATATACATTTGGATTCTTGATGGCATTCCCCCCTCTTCTCTTCATTTGTCTACCCTTTCCCCCTTGACTCCACCCCACCCCCTTCCAGTACAGATGACTTGTGTTTTATTTTGCTGAACTTTGACTTTGCCTTCCTAAGAAATTACAATGTTCAAGTTCTCCCTTGAATCTGCCCTACTTCAGTTAATACATTTTATACACTTGCATATCAATCTCCAACTAATCACCAAAAGCCACAAGTGAAGGTATGGCTTAAGTGGGAGAGCACTTGCCTTGAACAACAAAAGCTCAGGGACAGCACCAAGTCCTAGCCCCAGGACCAGCACACACACACCCTACACACACACTTGAATGAGTTCTATCAACAGTCTTCAATGTCTGTGTCTGGGTGCTAAGGAGCATGAAAAGATAGAACAGTGAGGCCAATGCTCAAATATAAACATCTGACTGGGTATGTCTGGACATAAAGAAATGTTCTTGTCTAGGAAGCACAAATCACAATAATCTTGCAATTTTTCAAACAGTGGTCATAAAATTTTATTGACCATTTAAAAGAACACATCTGTAGAAATGGAAAATATTTTGAAAAAAGAAAGAAAGAAAAAGCCATGCTGCAAACCTAAAGGGGCTGGGCTTCTGTTTTCCATGTCTAGGTAAACAGCACCACCTGGAGGTCATAAGGAGTAACTGCAAGTCTCCACATTTCTGCTTAAAGAGATGTTTTAGGACACAGCTTCTCTATAAATCCAACCCAGGCTTCAGATGTGCCTTCTGATTACTTTTTATAATAATACTCCCAATGCCTAAGAATATCCTGAAACCAACATGAAAAAATTGAACCTTCATTTTTACCATACATTACAAAAAAGCAAGCTTTTGTTATTAAGCATTTCCTAAATAATTCTTTTAAGAATCACAACCTTTTAATTTGAGCAATTGATTTACCTGGAAAAATTACTATAAAAATAAAAATGATTGGGCGCTGATGGTTCACATATGTCACTCAAACTACTTGGGAGGTTGAAAAACATGAGGAACATGGCTCAATGCCAGCTGGGCAGAAAAGTCTGTGAAATTACCTTCTTGATCCATAGTTGGTCTTGGTGGCAAATGCTTAGTATCTTAACTACGTGGAAGACTGAGATCAGAAAGACTGAAGTTGAGGGTCAGCCCAGTCAGAAGAGGCTGCAAGATTCCATCTCAGTGGATGAAACCAGGAGTCACAGTGCACGGCTATCATTCCAGTTATGACAAGGTTGTGATCTAGGCATGTTCCTGGACAGGAAAGCAAGACCCTATGCCAAAAGTAACCAATGTAAAAAAGAGAAAAGAAAAAGAAAGGAAGAGAAGGGAAGAAAGGAGGGAAGAAGGAGAGGAGGGAGGGAGGGAAGGAGGGAAGGAGGGAGGGAGGGAGGGGAAGAAAATGGCAAGAGGCATGCCTCAGAGCTAGAATGTCTACCTTGCAAGCATGATGTCCTGAGTTCAAACTCCACTACCACTAAGCAAAACAGAAAGAAAGAAAAAAGGAAACGGAGGAGATTGGCAAAGAGAAAGAAGAACAAATAACACTCACAAATACATCTAGCACTTGGGAAGCTGAGGAAGGGGAATCATGAATTGGAGACCAGCAAGATGCAGAGGTAGGGAGGGAAGGGATGGTAGGGGAAAAACAAAGGAGTAGGTAACAATGCTTGATAGGAAATGTACTCATTACCTTACTCATGTAAGTGTAACCCCTACATACAGTATTTTTACAATAAAAAAATTAAAAATTAAGCAAACATCATTTTAGAGACAATTTAGAAAACTAAGCAATTGCAGTTTAGTCTTAGTCTCCCAATTCAAATTAGTGGTATCACTTGAGCTCCCTTTGATCATCACTCACAAGTATCTTCTAGATGAGGCCAAACTTGTCCAACAGTGAAGATCACATGATCTTCATACAATGCATCCCTTACAAAGTACATTTTCTGATGATTCACATGAATCAATCTCTTCCCAAATTTTCTCATATTATAGCTTTATCTAAATACAAAGAATCTTTGTTGCTATTAGTTCTTTCTGATCTACTTAAGATATCAGTTTGTGCTCATTTTGGCAGCACATATACTAAAATTGAAATGATACAAAGAAGATTAGCAGGGTCCCCGCACAAGGATGACGTGCAAATTTGTTGGTTCCCTGTGAAGTATCATGTGCAAATATGTCATTACATGAGATGAAAGTATATCAACTAGCAACTTACAACTTTGAAGCTGACTAGTCTTGTTTCTTCTAACACTATAAACTCTGGAGGCCCAATTTTAAAAAAAAGATATCAGTTTGTCTGCATTTTCTCCTTTCTTGAATTGTTGTGAATTTTAAAGGTGCCTTGCTTTAATGCTGAATATGTTTAAGGTAGAACTCAATGAAGTCTTCTTCTTGTCCAATGTCATGCCCCAAGCTTCTCTCTTTGGTAGACTTCCCAGACTGAGAATATTTTACAAATTCTTATCCAAATTGATTTTTTTCCATATTCACCTTCAGATCTATATATTAAATTTGTAATAAGGAAGGACAGAGTCTGTTAAGTCTAGTTCTCTCATAATGGAATATTTGTGAAAAAATTAAGAGATGGTTTGAGAACCATAACTTATAGCAGTATTGTCTATAATGTACAGAAGTATATCAGAAAAGCAGAGTTGAGATGGTTGATAATTGAGAAAAAACATATTTTGAAGTACTTACAGTATTAAATAGTATTTACTGTTAAATTTAGACCTGAGTTGTCTCAATCAGTGTCTAAATTGGTTAGGGAGAAAATTAAGTTAGTAAATTATTTTGGAATAATTATTTTGGAATACAATCTGAAGGAAACAATCCAAATCAAAGAATCAGATCAGACAAAAGTCACTAGAAGATCAATTTAGTAAACACAGGAAGAGGGAAAAACCAAGGTACAAAACATCAAGAAAGGTGATGTTAGGGAAATGAACCCTAAGATATGTATTCAAATGTTTTTTTTCTTTCATGCGATTGTTTCTAACGCATTTATAAGATGATTTCTTTGTTGCTTTGTAAGTCCCTCCCCTGCAGTATAACCCCTGCTTTCACTGTATTTGATGTCGGTATAACATGTGGAGGGGAAGGGGAAAAACAAGTCGTTTAAATAGGATACAGGTGGACCCGTTGCAACAATGAGATGTATAAGTCGTTATGTCGAAAACGAACTTTACAACTTTGGTGGGGGGGTGGGAGTGGGGAGGATTGGGTGGAGGGGTGGGGAGAGGCTGGGAAGGGATGGGAAGGGGAAACAAAGGAGGAGGCTACAATGCTTGATAAGAAATGTACTCATTATCTTGCCCATGTCATTGTAAACCCTCTGTACAGTATTTTCACAATAAAAAAAAAATCAAGAAAATGGCAGGAAACATGACAAATCTCTCTATAATAACATAAACATTAATGGACTCAATTCTCCAATCAAAAGAATAGCAGATTAGATTAAAAAGAAGATTCATTCAATGTTTGCATTCTGTTTTGGGTTATTTTTGAATTGATTAAAACTTCCACTAATTATATGTCTTTTAATATATTACCTGTATGTCACATTTATTGAATAAATAAAAGATATTAATTTCTGATCTTAGATAAAAGAATTCAGATACAGATATTTGTACAAAATAACATACCTTTAAATATGAAGAACCATCAAGAATGTCATAAAGGGTGTCAAACTAACTTGTAATTAGAAAACAGCCCTACTGCAAAAAAAAAAAAAAAAAGCACAATCCCAAGCATCTTTCTCTCCTACACCACCCCACAAAAAAAAGTAAATTATTTTGAAAAAAAAGGCTCAATCCAAGAAGACAAATAGTGAAGGACATTATTTTAAGTATAAACAATGCTCGACTATGTAGTATAGTCTCCCTCTTCAAGAAACAAGCAAAACAAGATCACCTATGAATGTATAGGTACATCATCATAAAAGGTACTCTTTGCCAAAGTGTTAAGCAATTTGCATCAGATGTCTTAACAGACTCGAGATTATACAGCTGAAATTGTGAGATGCAAATTAGACAAAGTGTATGGGACACAAATGAACCTGGATCAAATCTGTGTATAGCTCTGCTAGACAGCACAACAGGCTGCCTGATACCAAGCACATGCGTTCCTTTCCAGGCTCATCTCTCACTTTCTTCTGAATTACATCTCATTCTCACCAATATTAATTTGTTGTACATATTCCTATGTCTTTTTCTGACAAATACTGTTTCCTCAACCACAACAGAAACCTGACAAGTCTCAGTATTCCTAACTTGTCATATGAACCCCAGTTCTCGCTCAAGCCCCATGACTGACAAACAAACAAACAACAACCAAAAAAAAAAAAAAGCCCTCAGTTCTCTTCTGTCTTGGGAGATCTTAGCTTTCTGCCTCCTCTCTTGCTTCTACGTGTAGATTTAAGCATATAAACAGAGAGACACTATGTTGGAAATGAACTTTACAACTTCAAGGCGGGAGGGGGGGAGGGGGAGGAGTGTGGAGGGGGATAATGGAATAAAAATAAAGGAGGGGGTAACAGTGTTGGAAATGAAATGTACTCATTACTTATGTAACTGTAACCCCTCTGTACAGCATCTTTACAATAAAATACAATGTAACAAGAATACAAACAGAAATAATAATAAGTACCACTAGCATATGTTCAATTATTGATACCTGTTCACCTGGTCTGCTCCACCTCCCTCAGCCCCTTTATCTGTGCTCTTATTTATTGCCACTTCCCTGTGAACAGTGCTGTGGTGCTCTGTGTACCATTCCCATATCATCAGATGCTCATTCTTAGAAAGACCAAGGAAGTACCATTCCATATAGACATTATGGATGTGTATAAATAGTCACATTTAGAAAGATACAAGTGTCTGATGGTCACTCTGCCGCAGGCTTTGAGATATGAATGAAGGAAAATGAGGCTAACATAAGTAATAACATAGGAAAAATGGGAAAAAGCCAAAAATATTCATTTGGAATCACAGGTCAAATTCTAGTTAAGCAAAGAGTGATCATCCATTAGCTTAAATATCATTTAATGCCTCAAGGTAGAAAATACAATGCTAGACTTTGCTGGGGCTAAAAAGACAAATATCATTGTGGCCAAAGTTTCAACAGTATATAGAACATGTTGAAAGATTTGCTATACTCTGTCAATGCACAACCCTATTTTGATTTTTTTTCTTTTTCTTGTATTAGCCTATCTTCCTGTGTTTCTGTCATGTCCTGAGTTCATATTTACTTACCTGGAGAATCAAATATAGCTATAACAATCAGACTTTTCTCACAACACAGTTCAGTACTATCACTGCACTACAGAAAAGAGGTATTTTATGCACCCTACATCATGGTCATGAGATAATCACAAACCTTTGAAAGGCTACATTTCAGTCTTTGTTGTTCAAAATTCTGCTACTGTGTCTACTCAGTCTCTTTCTTGTTACTTTCTACCACCAGTTTCCTTATTGTCCCTTCCTGCCCTTTCTTTCATTAACTCTCTCTCCCTGTCTGCCAAGCTGTCTGGAAGCACATGGAAGGTGACTCAGTCCACAGCTCCAGGTGGTCTCCACAACCTCTCATGGCTTACTTCCTTCAGTGAATATATTTGATGGAAGCTCCAAGATCTATAAACTCGTGACTGGGGCCAAGGCGGGACTCAGCCCCGTGACCATTCACTCCATGGCCAAACATGAGAGGAAAGAGACCTGCAATTGGGCCGGCCATCACCAGTGGGCAGCACACCTCTTACTTTCAAATCAGTTGTCGTTTAGGAGTTCTGTCATGAAGTGTGTTTATTAAAAACATCTAAAGTATATACAAATGTATACTTCCTAGGTTTTTTGTTCTTTATATATCTACTTTTTATTGTAAAGATACTGTAGAGGGGCTACAGTAACATGAGCAAGGTAATGAGTCCATTTCCTATCCACTATTGTTACCTCCTCCTTTATTTTTCCCCTGCCATCCCTTTCCTCCCTACCTCCCCAATTCCTTCACTTCCCCAACTCCTCCCACCCCAGCTAAATTGTAAAGTTCATTGTAAACATACTGTCTTGTACATCTCATTGTTACAATGGGTCTCCTGTATCCTTATTTCAGCATTTTGTTATTTCCCTTCCCCTCCCCAAATTAGAAAAATGTATATACAAGATGCAGGACACTGGAATCAAATACAGTGACAACAGGGTTTGTACCATGGGAGAAGAACATACAAAGAAACAAAAAAAAAAAAACACATAGTACATTATAAGTACATTTAAAAGAACAAGAAAGATAACTCTTGTGTCCCTATCTTAGGGTTCATTTCGCTTAGCATCAGGTTATATGGTCATATATATTAAGTAAAGTAAGCCAGGCCTAAAGAAACATAGGTCCCATGGTTTCCCTTATTTGTAATAACTAGTATATGTCTAGGACATGCAGAAGAGGTCAAAAGCTATGTACATATGACCATAGTTTTTTTTTTAAACAGCAAAACTTTAGTAGAGCCATTACATACATTTGAAGATTATATTCATAAGGAACATTTATATTCAGGTACTGCCAATAGCTACATACTCCAGATAGCCTACCAAACCTCATTATTTCTTATATTTTTCCTATTTCTTTCTGTCCTGAGAGTAGCTTTGTGTAGTTAATGTAAACTATAATGGTGATTACCTTTTGCCCTCTGACACAAATGGCTTGTGTATCTACAATAAAAATTGAGGCCTTCTTTACATGATTTGCAGGAAACAGCAAGACACTGACTGGAGAGCAAGATGCAGCCATTTTTATGCAGTCCAAAGCATAGGGATTTGTTTTTACTAGATCACATGACCTTTGTATGGAAATAAAACTGAAACTTGTTATTCTAAAAGAAGAAAGGAAAATTATACAGCAGTAAGAAGATGCTGCCTTTTTACCACAAGTCTGGGAGGTGATGCTCATTGTGGTCATTTAAGAAATAGGGAAAACAAGGGCTGGGAAGGTGGCTCAGTGGTAGAGCCCTTGCCTTGCATGCATGAGGCCCTGGGTTCGATTCCTCAGCACCACATAAGCAGAAAAAAAAAAGAAATAAGGAAAACAAGTGTCAGAAGAGTGGATGATTTGTTCAGTGACTGGTGGCTGGGGCACGCTTTGAACTGATCTTACTCTAACTTCCATTCCTCTCACAGGA